AAAAAAAAAAAAAAATCAAGAACACTGCCTGACCCAGTGTTTACATTCATGAACTTCACAGAACGAGCTGTACCTATCCTACTTAAAACAGAGGAGCTGAGTATTCTTTCTTGTTTAAGCCATCCGGGATTGCTAGGTACCAACAGGTGTGTACATACAGAGGTAAGAACAAAAGATACACTTCCCTTGCCTTTAAACAGGTTCCCCTTCTAAAAGAGTAAAAAGATCACAGAATGGAAAAATAATTTTAAAACCGTCTCAGAAAAGGAATGTTGTAATTTTGTCTGAATTTTACATGTCGTGCAGTTTTATGGCCAAAGTAAAACAAATCCATTCAAGCTACCAAGAGCTTTTCGACTCCTCACTCAGTGCTGTTTGCGAACAGTCTGTTTTTCATTTTCTGAAAGAAAACCCTCACAGTTCTATGCAGCTTTTCACGCTTTTTTTTTTTTCTTCGTAACAATAAGGCAAACTGATTTGGAGGAAGAGGCCACGCTCTATTCACATCCAAAATACCCACCTGAAGATACATTCATCATTAGCTTTAGTAAAAGAATAGTACAAAAGTTAGATCTTATTCTTTACACAGTTGAAGAATTAAGTCTTAGATTTAATTTCACTATTTTCCCCTTCCCCCAGCCCCCCCACCCCCCGAGCTGAAAGCTGAGTAGAAAGTACTGAACATTTAAACATGTTGCAAGAGCAGAATGAAACTGAGAGATTAAATTTTATCAGTTGGAGATTTTCCTTGATGGAAGTCCCATGAGAAACAGCTACAGGTCATTTGTTTAGCTGTATCCACTGAACAACTCTTTTACAAAAAAAATGGGCTACACTTTAATACACATTTACTATCAACACAGTATTTACTCAGTTCATGCCTAAAATATCTACTATCTTAAAGTGAAATATGAGAATGAGCACACAGGTTTGGTGATTCAGTAAACTGTACACAAAACTACTAACAAACATTTTAAAAGGCTTACAAAAATGGAGAATGAAACTTTTTTTTTCCTTTTTAATTACATATACTTACAGGTTTTCACATTTATTGGCTAAACTTTGCAGGGAGCACTTCAAATATGTTAGATCTTCCAGAGGTATTTACCTCAAGAGAGAACAACACGCAGTTTTTCTACAGATGGAAAATACTTTGCTATATTAGCCACACTGGGTTCTTTGAATGGTTTCACCACAGATACTGAGTGCACATCCAAACTATAGCAAAGAACTGCATATTCCCACGGGCAGTTTGTAGTATGCTAACATAGATGAATTTTACTGATATTTATGGCATATTACCATTTTGCTTCTGTGAGGCTGGGCAGAATTTAAACGTAAGTAACGTTTGCCTTATCTGGTTTGAATGAGCACAGAGAACACTGGCAGAATGCATCTCGTACAGTTGCTAATATGCTGAAGTTATATGAGAGAGTTTCCATGTTTAAATGTTCACCAGCAAAAAACCTTCTGCTAAAAAAAACAAATCGAGGTGGTTTGTCTTTATTTGGATGTTTGGAGTAGCTTCTCACTTGGCTTAGCAAACAAGAAATGCTGTGTTTCCCTGTTATTGCATTTTAATTGTTAGTTCAACTTGGCTTAGTGGGTGCCTTTAATCTGACAGTAGGCGTCCTCATTTGTACTTTTGCTTGCTGATTCTGGGCTTCAGATGTTGCTGGTGTCTGGGTGGGATTCTGTACACCTGGAGCCTGAATCTGGGGAGATGCTGTCGTCACGACTTGCTGTTGTATCAGTTTCTGCTGGACGACCTGAGCAGTAGCAGTTGTTGCAGGAATCACCTGAACCTGCTGTTGACCTGCTGTCGTCTGAGAAAGTGTCACAGTTTGGGGTTGAGCTTGTACCTAGACATTAGCATGACAAGGCAATTACAAAAGAATAGTCTGGCATTAAACTAAGCATTCATTATCCACTTTACAGGAAGCATCTTACTTATATAGGCATTTGCTCTCTTGACTGACAAGCATCTCAGACCAAGTAGGAAGGTCGGGAGTGAATCTGGAAACACAGGCTCTGTGGTTTCACTCAGAAACAACGTTCTGTCACATTTGCTAGAGCCTTATAAACTAGAACTAAGAGCCAAGCTGCCTGTAACTCAGATCTCTGCAGTGCAAACTACAAAATATTCCCCCAGATCCTTTACAGAACATGGATGGAAGATAAAAAAAATACCCCACTGGATAAAGAGGAAAATTCCTGTACTACAAATACAGGGAAAAGAACAGCGGGATAGATGGAAGATCAAGGAAGGGAAAATGCCCGCTCTGCACCCATACTGTGACAATAAATACAGCCACTGAGGCTTCCTACCCGTCTCTGACATTACCCTTTCAGACTACAGCTACCAATCTATATTGCCAATTCAGGGTAGAAGAGTTTGAACTCTATCCAGAAATCTAATTTTCAAAGCTCTACCCAGAGCAAGGGAGAAAAAAAATTCAAGGTCTCCTTGTTCAGAGGACAAGGTAATGAAAACTGAGCAGCTTCAGCTGCCTTTGTCAGAAGCAGAAGCCAAATGAAGCTGCAAGGGCTTCTCCAGGGGGAACTTAACTTTTGACCAATACAAGAGGAATCCATTGGGAAGCACTACAAATGCAGGTAAAAAGAATGCCACATACGTAAGGCCTCAGTTTCAAAACTACTTAGCATGGCCTATTCCTACTGCTACTGATGTCACTGGTGTGTGTGAGAGAGGAGTTGTTTGTCTTTTTACCATGAACTTCAACAGTCCCAGAGTTATGCCAACATCAATGACTTGAAAAATCTAGTTTTTAATGTCCCTTGAAAAATTACCTAGGAGTTCTTGCTGACTATAGAGGATGACTCAACTTGTGTTGACTGATGAGGTTTCTACTCCCTGCTGCCTACCTTGCCCTTGAAGCATTCACATCTGAGGTGGTTATCAGTCAGCTTACACCACTTTATCATCATTTTAAGATAAACAGTCACAGATTTTATACTGCACTAAAACACTGCACTATAAACTGTGACAGATTAAGAGCTGCTGGGCTCAGATTTTTGTGCACTGAAGGCAATAACTTCACCACCCAAAGTTAAATCATTCCTGCCAATCAACAGTGTAAGTTATACCTACTGCTAATGGTCTGAATTACACTGTTCTAAACGGTGTAAATAAACTGCCTGGTAGTTAGGGGAGGGAAGAACAAACTGTCTGACCTTCTCTTGCCCTAGTTCCATCTGTTATCACACCACATTTAGAACAGACACCACACCATTCTGACTTTTAGAAAGCACTGGCACAGCTTTATGAACTAGAAAAAAAAAAATTTCTCCCAAATTTCATAGAACAGACTCAGATGGTGCTAATTAGTTCCATTATTTGCTAACTTTACTATACATCACAAGAAACCACTTTTTTAAAGTTCTTTCAGCTCTAGAAAATATTTTTAAGAATCTGTTTTGCATCTTATCTACAGTGATGAACAAACGTTTCATCTACCAAAGTTTTAGACCAGAGAATATACAGCAGCTGACTCAATATTCACATGATACACTTCTATAGAAGGAAACTTGCTATATCCTTTGAGAACACTGCCTATGCCACACATATTCCAAATAAATGAGCTTTTAATAGGATCATAATTCTAGTGCATTATTTGATAAGCACAAAACCTACCTGTTGGGAAACTGAAACCATCTGTTGAATGTTGGCAACAGTAGCCTGTTGCTGGACCACTTGCGGAAGTTTTGCAACCTGTAGTGACAAGAAATAAAGAAAGATATAAAAATTAAAAATTGCTAATAGCAGCCAACACACCATACCTATCAAAACTGCTACCAAGTGAAAACCTTTCCAAAGTCCTGTTTGTGGTAAGTTGAAGCTTGGCATTCTCAGTGATACTGACCTTTTGTAAAAAGACACTTTTTACAAGAAACTCAGTGTATTGAAGAACTTATCTAGAAGGGGAAGAGGAAAAGTCATATTTTCAATTTTAACTGCAACATACTTGTGTTTCCTCATAACTATATACAAAACTGAAGGAAGCACTGAAGTTCTAATGGGCTACATTATCTTAGATATACTTTTGAAAGAGTAAGGCTTCCAATTCCTAACCTGCTTCGTTTTCCTTGGTTAGACTGATCCAGATATTCAGAAAAGAAGAAAACTGCCAGCTACTCTTGACTGCCAGGGGTTAGGCTGGGAGGCTGTACCAGAAAACAAGAATAACTCTGAATTTTCCTTAGTAAATACAGTACAGAATCCCTTGTTCGAAAAAAGGAGTGACAATGTATTTCTTTCAAAGACAAAAGGTGAACTAATGGCTTAGATGTTTCCTCTGACCTGCTACAAGGCCGCATATTCAGCACCAATTTTATTATAAAGTCAATTTAAATAATTATGTGACTAGAATATGAGCAGGTGCTAAAATGCTACGTCACCTGTCATCTTTGCAACTCTCCAGTCACTGTAGAGTTTAAAGGTGTAAACCTGTGTTACCTGTACCTGAATCTGGGCCTGCACTTGCTGGGTTCCACCTGGCTTCTGGCTTTGGGAAATCGGAGTTGTTAAGAACTGTGTTTTAATGGCAGGCTGTGTGGTATAAGTTACTTTTTGTTGCTGTGACGTCTGCTGCTGGGTTTGGACTGTAACCTGTTGAGCATTTATCTGCAGAAGAGAAAAAAAGCATCAGTGAATAAAAAAAAATATAGGTGTTTTTTAAAGAATAGGTATGTAGCTAACAAGATTAATTACATTTAATTATTGAAATATAATCCTTCTAGGATTGGTAATAGCAAAATGAGCACTAGGAAGAAGCTTTCATGCACTTATACAAATATTCTGAATCACTGAGTATTTACTGAAATGGTTCTCTTACACACACACACACAATTTATAAAATAATACACCTCCAAAAAACCACACTGGTCAGTAACTGACAGCAAAGATGACATTTCAGGAAA